GCCACTTCCGGCTTTTTTCTTTTTACTTATATGGTGCTGAGGAATCAAACCCAGGGCCTCAGGCATGCAAGGCAAGCGCTCTACCACTGAGCCACCTTCCTAGCCCGTCTTATTCCTTTTAATACAACTCATCCATGATCTGCTATTGTCATAGTTTTCACTTAGTTCTTTTTCATCTATTCAAAATATCTCAACACACACCATAATGCAAAAAGGATATATTCATATACATCTTACTGCTCCTGTAGTTACCCAGATGGTAGGAACAAGATGAGCTATCACTTAAAAATGAGCATTTTCTTAATAACTAATGAGATTGAGCATCTTTCATGTGTTTTGGGCCACCTGAATTTTCTTTAAATTGCCCTTTCAGCTCCTTTGCTCATTTTCCTCTTGCATTTGTTGCTTTTTCTTAGTGATTCTAGAGTTTTTCTTTTGTTTGTTGTGTATTTTTATTGTTTCTTTGTTTCTTGCTGTTTTTTTTTTTCACCCCCTATGGAAGGCAGGGAGAATACCATTGACTTGCCTTTTTGAGAAAAAGAACAAGTAACATTGTATTAGCTTTACATCACTATCATGAAATGCTTTACACAGCTTAGTTATGAAATAAAGAGAGATTTATTTTGGCACATAGGTTCAACTTCAACTTCAGTGGCTTCATTAGTTTGGGCCTCAAATGAAGGGGCCATTATAGTGACTATGTGTAGGATCAAAGTATTCATAGCCAGAAAAAGGGGGGTGGGGAGAAATGCCCTATGCCACTTGTGTTAGCTTTGAGGTTTTTTTTTGTCACTATGATTATGCTTGTAAGGCCTAAAACAAATACAAATTAAGTGTCTAGGGTTCAGTTTCCCTATGCATAAGTAGTCCAGAAATACTGAGTTGTAGGCAGCTAACCAGTGGAAGTGGAAGCAATAGAATGTAATCCTAATCTTTCTCCAGGAGGTGGTAAGCTTAGGTCTAATGAATTACTTCTGGGTTTATTCACAGAGCATAATTCTTTTTTTTTGTCGGTCGTGGGGCTTGAACTCTGGGCCTGGGCGTTGTCCCTTAGCTCTTCAGCTCAAGGCGAGCGCTCTACCCCTTGAGCTACAGCGCCACTTCCGGTTTTCTGGTGGTTTATTGGAGATAGGAGTCTCACAGTCTCTCCTGCCCGGGCTGGCTTTGAACCAAGATCCTCAGATCTCAGCCTCCTGAGTAGCTAGGATTACAGGCGTGAGCCACCAGCGCCCGGCTCACAGAGCATAATTCTAATGAAGTATCTAGCGCTAAGATAGATGGTTATCACAAAGTGCTATTAGTTGAGGTATTTATTTGAAATATAAAGACTCATGGTTTTATTTATCAATATGCTGTTTGGCATCATTTTGTCTTTATGAATGAGGAATCTAAACACTACCACTTGAATGAAAGCAACAGGCACTGTCTTAGAGGAAACAAAATGCTTAAGAATTTTTTGTGGGGGCTGGGAAGGTGACTCAGTAGTAGAGTGCTTGCCTTGCATGCATGAAACCCTGAGTTTGCTTCCTCAACACCACATAAACAGAAAAAGCCAGAAATGGCGCTGTGGCTCAAGTGGTAGAGTGCTAGCCTTGAGCTGAAGAGCTGAAGGACAGAGCCCAGGCCCAGAGTTTAGGCTCCGTGACTGACTGGGAATGTGACTTAGTGGTAGAGTGCTTGCCTAGATGAAGCCCTGGGTTCAATTCCTCAGTACCACATAAACAGAAAAAGCCATAAGTGGAGAAAAAGCTGGAAGTGGCTCTGTGGCTCAAGTGGTAGAGTGCTGGCCTTGAGCAAAAAGAAGCTCAAGGACAATACCCAGGCCCTGAGTTCAAGCCCCAGGACTGGCAAAAATAAATAATTTTTTGCCATTTATATACTTTTTGTTGTTGTTGTTGTTGTTGGTCAGTACTGGATTTGCTAGGCAGTGTTCCACTGGCGAGCCATGTCTCCAGTCCTTTTTAACTAGGTATCTATTTAGGCTTCCTGTCATAGCCACTGTACCAGCTATTGATTAAGAAGGCATTTCATAGGTGATAGCAAATTAAGATTAATTAGACTTTGCCAGAGAACCAGCAGACATGCAGGTAGAGAGAACAAAGAAAGGTTTATTGCCGGGGCAGGGGTGGGGTGGGGGAGGGAAGGGGCAGGCAAGACTCCTCACAAGGGAGGAATGAGAAGAAGCACTGGCTATTGTCCGAGGTGACCTAGGGGGGTTAGAAGGGGCTAGAAGAGGCTAGGAGGTGGAGACCCTGGTGTGGACCTGCGGGCCAGGGGCTTCGTCATGGCAGACTAGGGTTTATGGCTGCTGTCCAAATAGTAGATAAGGGTCCTGCAGCTGCCCAGACCTGAAGCTCTTGTTGCCTTCTGCCCCAGAGAAGTAGGGGTTGGAAGTTGATTATTTACTGCCTTTACTACATGGGCCTACTGCTGCCTAGGAAGGGAGCATGCCAAGCTGTGGAGAAGGGAAGGAGTGGACTAAGCTATGGGAAGGGACTCATTTCGCTAACAATAGGTATGCCTAGGCTGCCCTCAAACCACAGTCCTCCTGATCTGTTCTCGCAGTTGCCAGGCTTACAGGCATGGGCCTCTAGTGCCTGGGTAGTTTTTTCTTTTTCTTTTCTTTCTTTCTTTTTTTTTTTTTTTTGTTGGTGATGGGGCTTGAACTCTGGCCTGGGTGCTGTCTCTCAGCCCTTCAGCTCAAGGCTAGCATTCTACCACTTGAGCCACAGTGCCACTTCTGGCTTTTTCTGTTTATGTGGTACTGAGGAATCAAACCCAAGGCTTCATGCATGCTAAGCAAGCGCTCTACCATTAAGTCACATTCCCAGCCCTCTCTATTTTTTTAACTCTGTTGTTTGGTGAGACAAGGTCTTGCTACATAGCCCAGGCATCAAATTCAGGATCCTCCTGCCTTAGCCTCCTGAGTGCTAGAATTATAACTGTGTGTGACTCCAGTGATTTGAATGTTTTGTTAGATAACACAAAGAAATACTACTGTATGGCTAATATGTTTGGTTTCAATTATACCAGTTCAAACAGCTCCTGAGACTTGGATCTTCTGAGATCAAGTTCGGGATGTGAATATTACTTCCATGAATACAGCAGAAGTAGCAAACTCTGATAAAGAAGACATTCTGGCCAGGCACTGTTCTAAGCATTTTATGCATAATAACATTTTTATGAGTTTTTTATTGTAAAAATACTGTACAGAGGGGTTACAGTTACATGAGCAAGGCAATGAGTACATTTCCTATCAAGCATTGTTGCCTCCTCCTTTGGTTTTCCCCTACCATCCCTTCCCTCCCACCTCCACACTACATTCCTCCCCCCCAATTGTAAAGTTCATTTTTCAACATAGTGTCTTGTACATCTCCTTGTTACAATGGGTCAAACTGTATCCCTATTTAAACATTTTGTTTTTCCCTTCTCCTCACCAAATTAGAAAAATGTATATACAAGATGCAGGGCACCAACATCAAATACAGTGAAAACAGGGGTTATACTATGGGGGAGGAACATATACAAAGCAACAAAAAAATCACATGGTACATTATACATACGTTAGAAACAATAGCAAGAAAGAAAAAACCACTTGTGTCCCTATCTTGGGGTTGATTTCGCTTACCATCGTCTTATCTGGTCATATGTACATAGCTTTTGACCTTTTCTGCTTGTCCCAGACATATACTAGTTATTGCAAATAAGGGAAACCATGGGACCTATGTTTCTTTGGGTCTGGCTTACTTCACTTAATATAATTTTTTCCAAGTCTTTCCATTTCCTAACAAATGGGGCGATGTCATTCTTTCTGAAGGAGACATAGAATTCCAATATATATACATATATATATAATCACATTTTCTTGATCCATTCAT